CTAACCTAACATTAACAATGTTAATTTGCCAACCATTATCACTTTTTTGCCAAGTTGCTTCATTTCATCAGCAAATCAATCTCTGGTTGGCAAAGTAATGACAATATAGCTAATGTCACAGCAACTAGCGTTACAGTGTAAATTACAAACCATGCAAGTACTAAAATATAATTTTCTCAGTTAGATAAGTGTGGCACATTACGCACTAACATCTGCTAACCACTTAGACACTCCTTAAAACTAAAGACAAGGGACAGGAATACTTATGCAAGATAGTAAAATATACTTGATCTAGTTGGAAATATCTTAAAATACGACTTGCTAAATAGTTGTTAGCAGATTTTGTCATTAGGGGTGACCAATAGGCAAGCAGTACTTAAATTGTAAGACCACAAAACATGCATATTAATTTATTCTAAAGTGAAGACTAATTTGAGGCTCTAAGACAGAATGGACCAAATCCACTTGGGCATAATGTTTTCCCAATGGCCCACTTCCGAGATACGCTTCGCTTGTCACGCACAAAAGTTTCAGTATGAGGCTATGTGCTAAATGCTCAGTCATTCGTGACAGGCGGTAAGAACAAATTTAATTTAGCACGTAGCCTCATACTGAAACCTTTGTGCGTGACAAGTGAAGCATATCTCGGAAATAGGCTATTCAGACCACGTCATTCCTTCCTTTAAGATTTTTTAGTTCAGTTGTATCCATATTTTCATGTGTCTTCTCATGCACAACCGACTTTTAAACAACAAAAAAACTCTCTCTATATATATAATGACATGTGGTCTGACATGGGAAATCTGGCCCAAGTAGATTTGGTCCATTGGCTGAAAATTGAAGGTTATGAGACTTTGGATTCAAGGAACTTTTGAGAAACCTCAAGTTTGTAACACCATTTGTCACCACTTCATTAGAATCCATGTTGTTGGAGTAGGTTGTAAAAGTGGTAACTGGAAATGTTTAGTCTAGCCATGCTTGTAGCTATGATGAAATCAAAGGCAGATCCCGGAAGTTGTTAGAGAGTTGTCCCAAATGAAGAAAATTATATAAAGATAATGCATCTCTTCAAAAAAGGTGTCCGGTGCACTACATGACCCCCCCTGCATCAGCCCATGGCTATAGAATGCAAACATGTAACTAAACACTGCTGTATAATGAGTCTAAATAGCATTATTGTTTTCTACCCATTTCAAATCATGTTGTGCCCTTGAGTATCATTCCTTTGTTTACCATCCTATGGGAAATGATGTGGGAAAACTGCACAAGATAACATATCCATAAATGATATACTAGGTCTGCTTGTTTGGTTTATGTTTTAACTATCAACCAAACTTGGATTTTTAAAATATTTTACGATTTCTAAAACCAGAAATGCCGTATATTCAATAATTGGATAGGTCAATTAACTTCCTGCCTAATGCTTGGATAGAATTTTGTGGTCAGTCAGCTTCTTTAAATGTCTTAACCTCAGTAAAATAATTCATAACTGTACATGTCAAACAAAGTTTTCATTGCTATTTAGTCTAAATTATTTCGTCTTTAGTGTTCGCATTTAATATAGGAGAAATGAGCTCCATGTTTGTAATAGGATGAAGTATTTATATACTCATAATATTATATATATTAGTGCGTGTTGTATAGCGTCTTTTATACAGGATTTTGTTCAAGAGAATATTATTTTGTAGAATAAAAATAGATTTAATTGGTGTTTGTGAAGCTTGTTTAATAACGACATTATATAAAGCTTACCTTGCTCTTTGGTTCTCGAGTTGCGTTTGAGAGTCGTCTGGTTGGCTCCAGAATACGACAGCGAAAGTTTCAGGAATGCAAATCCTAATCATAGAGTGTAACTTGTCTTCATTTTTCTGCACTATACACCCCCTTGGTGAACAATCTAACAAATACACCATATAAACAGCGAGAATTCGAGTGCAGTGAAAATGAAACATCAAATCAACAATTATGCGCAGACCCGGGGTCCAACTTTAGGTGCGTTGAATATATTAATAAATGATCATATATTTTATCTGATTTGTTCAAATGGCACGTGAAAATTTGAACAGATAAAGAAGGAGATTGTAGGGCCCAGTGCGCTTACAGCGGCATTAGAGATGTTCTCGCTACAAGTTGCGTGAATTTGAACCCGCCCTGACCTCATGAATTATGACGCGCTGTCGAAATAAGCCAAATTTTGATATTGCACTGCTTTGCAAACTCTCCCAAATGCAGAATCAAGCTCAATGAATCTATGCAGTACAGCGACGTCATTCCTGCTTTTCTGCACATATATTCCCGCTACAAGTTGCGTGATTTTACACCACTTCATCATGACTCGTGACGCGCTGTCGAAATGACCAAATTTTGATTTTGAGCTGCTTGCAAACTGTCCCAAATGCAAGATAATTATATAATAATAATAATAAAGTTTCCCCTGTTGTAAAGTGCAGAGATCAAAAAACCATTTTTTGATGTCGCAGTTCCAAGCACTGCAAAAATTGCACGTGTCCTTTACACATGCAATTTTTGCACGCTCAGGTCAAACGTCGAACTTCACATGAGCCGAACCTAATTGAAACAAATGGATAACAAGGTGGTTTTCTTTGATGTCATTAGGTTCGGCTCATGTTTTTCGACGTTTGACATGAGCCTAATAATTTTGCGGTTAAAATGTCCTGTCTCAATGTCTCAATATAGGAGATTTAGAGAATAAAATCAAATAGAATTACATTGTAAAAGTTTAACTTCACTGAACTTTTTTATTTTTATATTTACGTTATCCAGGTAAGTACTTCTTAAGAGTAACAGAAGATTAAAACTACGCGAAATAAAAATAAAAATATGATTCAAAAAGTTTAAAAACTTTTCTATTTCTTTTAGTAAAAAAGGAAGAAAGAATGACAGATATTGGTCCTGTTTTAAAAGCTGTGTTGTTAAACATCAGAGTATCGCACTCCAGATTAAACCTATGCCTTCTTGACACTGCATCGCACTCGGAAAACCCTGATAAATCTATGGATACGCTGTGTATTTTTCATTCCTAGCGTAAGCACACCTTTTAAAACAGAATTCGACGGTTTGGTTCAAAAAAATAAACATATCGAGCTTTAAGCCCAACTTAAATAAACGGGTTCGAAAACGCCACATTCTTTTAGGGGTAGAGAAATAAAAAATGATATCCTAGCGCTGCCACCAACCTATGGCGCGTGTAATTTCAACAGGAAAGGTTTAGTCAAGCAACAAAAGGAAAAATAACGAATGCATGAAGAAAGGAGCCTACGAAGACTGAATATTGCGATGAAATAAAGCGCAACAGAATTTCCTTCCTCGCGCAAACAAGACTGTTTATAGTGTAACGAAAAGCAAAGCATGTCGAAGAAAACAAGAAAAGATAGACGAACTTCAAGCTTTTTCAATCCTAACACTGCCTGAAACTCCCTAGAAATCTATTAATCATATGATCTTTAAATACACCAAATTACACTTAACAGTTAATTATGTGGTCTCTGGGAGATTCCAATACTTATTTTGCAGCTAAGCTTTTACATATTTATATTTATATATAATAATAATTGTCTTGTTGTTGTTACTGCTATACTGATTTGTAAGGGATATATAAGAACACATGAGCGCAAGATTTAGAACCTGCTATTGGATTACAACACACCACGACAGGAAAAAAAAAACACGCACACTAAACATCCACTCCGTTTTGTTTATCTCACAAATAGATACACACGATGCCACTAATGAGTCCCAAAACACTACAGTTATACCAGTTTCAGTATATACAAGAAATTAGCGGCCGACTTATCAGAGACCTGGTATCGTTTTACTGAATAAAAATTCCCTTTGACTTGTCTTTTCTGAGAGTGGGAACATGATGCTCAAGTAGAATGGACCCTATTTTAAGACCTTATTTTTTCATGAAGCACAAGTACCGATATCCACGAAAGACGTCACATCTCACTCTCATGTCCTCGTACTGGAAACACGGTGCAACATCCTCTCAATGCTAGTAGTGTACTTCACGGTCAATAAGGGCGTTGCAAATATAATTATACTCTAAACTAAAGGAAAGACTACGACCTATAGCGGGTAAAAGTTTAGAGCATTGAAAAGAAATTTTTGGGCGCCACTTATTCATAGGAAGGAGCCTGCTTGCCATATTTTTTTCCAAGACATCGCCCGTCAAACAGTGCATGCAAGAACTGTGAGGCTCAAAAAAGCTCATAAAGAAGCTTGAGGGAAGGTTATATAGTCTCCCTCGCATCCGTTTTTAGTGTCGGTCGTCACGCAACGCTCCCGAGCGTTGCGTGACCACCGACACTAAAAACGGAAGCGAGGGAGACTAAAGGTTATAGTGCATGAGCTTTTTTGACTAGAGAAAGGGTTAAAAAAGGTTACACCAACGCACCGACATGTGGTTAAAGGCTCGGACTAACGGTGAAACATTGAATTCAAAGTTGCCGGCAAGAAAGTTTCTCACAAGGGACAACCTTTTCTGTAACAAAACTATGAATCGAAAAGACAAAGCTATACATCGCGGGATGATAACAGCCTTGCGATCGACTATTTCATTGACTATAAAAAGCAACTTTGCAGGCACATCCACATTTTGTTGGACGTAACAGTTGCATCATAAGTCCAGGCCTTAGCAACGATCATCAGTGTGTATCATTAAGCCTAAGCGATGTCAAGGTTCTTCCGTCACACACACACTCGCTGACGCTGAAATGTTTACCTTAACTTGCTTAAACATCCAAAGGAAACGCACTGTAAGGATTTTGATTTCAAGCAGTGCATGCTTTGAGTCTAGTTTTTTGTTGGGTCATTACTGTGCACACAATCCAAAAGTCATGTTACCGTACTTTCGTCAGATACACACATCTAGTCTATCAGCCTCACAACGATTTCAAATACATTAGATACATACATAGATGATAAATAGATGGTTAAATGACGGTTATCATGGATCAATGCATGACAGAGTATTTCCAAGGTTCTAGGTCAGTGCTTTCATCGGTGGCTTTGGTTATGGTTTCAGATTTCACTAAATACAATGTACACAGACAGACAGACGAACATGTTGACCCACAGTATTGTGAGTTTCCACAGGCAGCCCAACCACGGTTGTCGTGCTGTTAAATTACAGAATGTGAATTTTGAATGAAATTATCGACATCCCTACTTTAGTCGTTCAGTTCAGTCTTTTTAAAAGGCAATGTGGTTCATGTGGTAGTGTTACTGGAAGTCTTAATGAGAAAAGTTGTTGGTATTAGAAAGACACAAGAGCAAGAGCACGATTAAGGCGATTTGGTCACAAATATACTATAATATACAACAGACAGCACGAAAGCCAAGTTTGGGCTCCCTGTGTCGTGTCAGGCTGCTCCTCGACGTACCACGAGCATAATTTAACGTCTGGTCTGACACGCTAAAAGACTATAATTGTATACCATTGTCATATCTACATCAAATTATTTTAGATGGGAAAGTGAACCCTTATAAAAGACAATACAGCTGACAATGACTTGGTCTTGCCACACTGAGTATAGTATTATATACACTACCGATTGTTATTATAGTAACGTTAAGGTGCTCTATGGGAGGGGAGGGTGGCGTTGGTTGACTCAGCTTTCGTCCTGTACCTCCATTTGGTCGTCAGTGGCTCTGTTGAAAGAGAAACATTTTAGTTTACGATAATAACGTGAATAGACTCTGCGTAAAACTGACTGCGCAAAGAATTGAGCATGTACCCAGTACGCCATGGCGTAACGAGAAAAATGGATTGCCATTGTTAAGTATGGTTATGGCTGCGACGCAACAGGAACAGGAAATCTACGATTCTGATTTAGAAAACAAAGGCCATAGAAAATGGAACAATAATGAAAGCGCTTCCTGTTGTTATGTTAATCAGTGATAAACATGAAAATCTATGGCAGACTACTTACGAAGTCGATACGGTAATAATGAAAGGGCTTACATTATGTTATTGACTTCGCCCAAGCAAAACATTTGCTGCTGTGTACGGTAACATTGAAACGGTTTCCTATTGTCTCGTAAATAACAACCCCACCACCAGCACTTAACCAATATTTTGCTCTATTAATCGCTTTTTCTTAATAAGAAAAGACTTTCATATTTACACTAATCAAGGCTTTCAAAAAACATTTTGACCTCACAGTATTTCATAGGCACAACAGGAAGTATACGTAAAGAAAGAAACACGTGCGTGTGTGGATACAATACGCTACATGTGACAAGTAGGTACCACGGAACAGGAACACTGAGTTGGCAACGGTTGATTTACGTGTAACAATCGATCCACAAGTGACGTCTGTTGTTATTTTGTGTAGGCACTTAAACACTACCCACGCAACGTGTACAAAAAGAATTATTAAGTTTGTTTCCACGTGTGCACAGAATAGACTGACTACATGTGGACTACAATTGCGATAATGTGAAAAACGAGGGCAGATTCAGACAAAAATTATAAGGGGTGGGGGGTGGGGCTTGACCGAATTTTGCTAATGTCACTACAGAACTTGGAAAAAAATATCAAAAAATAAGAAGCAAAATAAGAAAAATAACCACTGTCCTGAAGGGGGGACTACAGCCCCCTTTGCACCCCCCTGGATCCGCCCCTAAAAAACGCTCTAATATTCAAGAGAATAAAATATTTATATGAAAATAACTGTAATGATTACAATACCTTATTAATAGGAAAAGTACTTTCACGTAACTCTCAAATGGAATTAAAATCGACAAAATGCGCGAAATGTTCTCTCAAAATGCGCGAAATACCCGCCGCCAGATTTTTCCTTGTACTAAGTGTACCCTGACTAGAACTGAAGTAGCAAGGGTATTTCCTTACTTATCTGAATCTTGAACCACACCCGGCGCCATGGATAATGATGCCAAGGCGGATACAGTTTCTAATTCCTCCTTCTCCCTCTGCTGAGCTTCGACCACTGAATGGTTTATTAGAGAGCCAGTTCTCTTGACTGAATTCCAATACCGACCTACGAAATAACATCACATAGTAAGACAAACGAGACAACTATTGAAGAACCTACCAAAGGCGGGGTCAGGATGATGGCCTTCTGTTAAACACTCTCACTTCTGAGGTCCGGGATTAGAATTCCAGTCACCCTATGTCAGCTGAGTTGGTCAGTTCTCTTTCTGACTCTCAGCTTTTTTTTTTTTTTTTTTTGGCTTTCCGGTTTTTCCTCATTCCTCTATGCAAACCGACACTAACTAATTCAAACTGGTTAGAGTGTGCTCAGAGGCCTTCAGTTCGACCCCATTGATCTGCGCCACTCGCTGCTGTACTTGCGGTAGTGAATAGCGATAACAAAGGATACCTCGAAGGAAGATAAGACTAGTAGAGGTTATTGGCGGGGCAACAAAAGTTTAGGAGTGTCTTTTAATTAATTTCAGGTTTTTCGCTGACTTTCTTATCTCGTCCAATATTCTACAACATTGTTGTATGTTATCTTTACCACGACGGACTCCATGCTAGTTTTATACACGCTAGTTGTTTGTATGCAGTCAATCTGCACACGATTAATGCATGGTGATATACAAATGAAAATCCTTACTTTGAATGGCAATAGTCTTCTCAAGTACAGCCACAGCGTTAGGGTTAGGCGGTCTCGTCAGGCTTTCCTTCGGTACTTCTGGCAGCTGAAAAGAATAACAATGTTCAATTCATTCTTATCTTTGGAATAAAGAGATGCACGTTTTATCTGACTACGTTCGATTCCGTTGGTGAGATCCGTTTCTAATTCATAAAACCCGAAAAACAGTTTTAGTCTGGTTAAGCAGATTAGTTACCTCTTGACTTAACAATCCCCTTAGACAGGCTTCTGCGGCATCACATAGGGATGGTAAACTGTAACCACCCTCTAGAGCCATAACGAGTCGACCCTGAGCTAGTTCCATCAGCTGTTTAGTTAACTGCGCAAAACCTGAAGTCAAAAATGAGAAGAACGTTACTGGCGAAAATCAACAGCCCTCCATGCACCAATGATGCTAGAGCTGATGCTAGAATGGCACAAACGGTGAGGTCATGAAACAGGTAGTCTTCGCAGTCGTCATTAGATTCGATCCCAGATCCTGATCTGGTGCCGACACTAATGAAGGTTACGATGGAGACTACGAAACCGGATTGGCCTCACCTTTTCAACTACTATTGCTGCTTATCCAGTCATAATACTGGCATAACATTGTTATAATCAAGTGAAGAAACTTGCTTGATTTTTCTTAGGTACCCGATATCTTGTCTCAAAAACATTTTATGAACGTGCACAAGTAAAGGGGCAAAAATTGGGGGCGCCCACAATGTTAAAAAGTTGAAGATCTTTGTCAACAAGGAAAGAAATGATACTCAAAGGGGTGACACGAGGCTAAAGCTGCACATCGGACAAGGGACTATAACGTTTTCCTAGTGGTAAAGATTAAGCAGTCAAGGACAAGTGGACTGGTAAGGAATAGAAAGTGTAACATAAAGATGCCGGTACTTACATGCAGCAGTTACTTTGTAACCTCCAAGCTGAGGTGAGTGACCAGTAGCAGCATCAAAACCAGCTGATACTAGAATGATCTCAGGATCAAACTCCCTGGCAATGGGCATGACTACTGATCTAAAGGCTGCCAAATACTCTGCATCACCGTATAGTGGATCTGGTGTAGGAAAGATAAAACAAGTTAATTTTAGAAACAATCTTTAAAGAAGGAGGCCTAATTCAATCCAGGTCTGATAGCTATCTGTAATATTTCGTGTTTTAGCCACCTTGAACCACCAAACTGACTTCCGAGGATTATTAGCCTGCGAACAAACGTTTCCCTAAACATTTTTTCCCGCAGGGGAGAAGGGGTACGAAAACGTCTGCACGCAGACTAAAGATTATCGGTAGGAGCAAAAACATCTGAATACTGGCAGTGAATGGTATTATGGATAGGAGAAGCACAAAAGGGTTGTACAGTCCATACACTACAGACTTTTTTCTCAAGATTGTGCAAGGAGCATCAAACCTTGGTGCACAATAAAACGAAGAAAGACGATCACTTTTTTATTTGAAACTGGGGAATGAAAGTTCTAGATGAAAATTGTAGGCCAGGAGAAATTGAATTACTTGTGTAATCATAGTAAAGTGTACTAGCTATAATGAATTTTCGGGGGAAAGGGAAAAAAATGTTTGCGATTCACATCCCCCCTCGAGATGTAATCACACTTCGTGGCCTTGGAAATGAGTCTTTGCGCAACCCTGAGTAAAAGGTCTAATGTGTTAAAAAGCCAATCACTGACCTAATCCACCATTCCATGCAATATTGACATTATATCCAACACCAATACCAGCTCCACACTGTACAGAAATATAGGAAGAAACAATAGTTTGTCAAGGTTATTCATTCACAGGTATGTCTGGGTAATACTGCATGTCATCACCGTTGTCTTATTGTCACCGTTGTCTAAGCAATTTATTAAGTACCTCCTAGAAACGGCAAGCACGACTACTATTTCACTCGATGCCTTTTGTATCGGGCTATTTCGTTACGCGATAAAAAAATGTGCGTCGCACTTGCGCAACTGATGCTACACTAGGAAAGCCTCCAAATTGTTTTTACTTTCGTTGCTAGAAGTACAATTCCAATTCGCTTCTTTCTAGGACCGCGCAAATATTAAAAGATGAGGTTGTGGTGTTACGCAACTTGTTGCGCAATGGAACTTAAACGAGACGAGCTGCAAGAAATACTACTAAGTGTAAACCACCCTTTCAGACAACATGCTAGTACGCACCTCTTCTGACTTCCCAGTACCAGGAAAGAATGTCTCGTCGTCATGACGATGTAAGGAAATGTACAAGACATGGGGATCATCATAGAACATCTGCTGTGTACCGTTACCATGGTGAATATCCTAGAAAAAATAACAATAAGTATTGCAGCGTTAAGAGAGCATTTTGTGCGAGAGTTAACTTCATTGCTAATTTAAAGCGCCTGTCTTATGCTCCTACTGGCGGGGAGAGACATACGTAAGTAATTCAAAGTAACATCCTGGTCCAGAGCAAGGAATTTTAAATTGGTCTCGAGAGGAGGATTCACAAAATAAATTGCAATTCTTTAATACATAAGGATTATAAAACGCGCCCACATGTCTCAGTACTGTGATATAAACACGCTGGGAGCTGTAGAGAACGAGAAATGAAAGCTTAGGAACACGAGCCGTAGCTAAGTGTTTTTCTTGCTTTTTGAGATCTCTACAGAGTGTTTATATCACAATACAGAAAATACCAATTTAAAACATTTTTGAGCGATTTAGCTCGAGCGTAAACAAACACGGTAACCAGCCAATCAGCGTACCCGTTTTATCACAAATATTTTATAAATGACGATACAGGTAGGATTGAGCAAAACGGGTAGTGTTTGTCCCTTATTTGAAGATAGTAATGAGATTCGTGAGTATAATTTAGATGCGTAAGAGCTAAAACATAAGCCTTTGATGAAACTGTCTCGACATCCGGCCCCACGTCGCAACGTGGGAAGAGTCTAAAGTTCATCCCATATCTCATTACTGTTGACCAATTTACAATAGATTTAGAGTTTGCATGATGTTAGCCGGATCTAACTCACCCAGTCAACGATTAAGACTCGTTCTACTGACATCTTGAGTCGCAGAAGTCTAGCAGCAATAGCGACATTGTTGAAGTAACAGAAACCCCTGGAAAGAAAATACTCGTGATTAATAAAATTATAAATGAAACTACTTATTTCAATTACTCCCATCAAGTAATCAATGGATAAATCCTCTATATAAATTCAAAGAAAACAATGAACCATTATAGGTTGCGATCTTACTGTACTGTAATCAAGGATTTTGACTGTAAAAACACTGATCTTGTGTGCTGTGATTAGTCCAGTGGAAACCGTTACCGTGTATCGGGATTTAACAGTCACACGAAGTTTAATTTTGTAAAAACTTTCAGACCTCGTTTCGTCTTCACCCTCCAGACCACAACCCCTAAAAAAAGGGAAAAAAGTTCTTACATAGCTTGATGAGCTTCAGCGTGATGACCAGGTGGACGGACAATTGCCATACCATTCTGTTGAACCAGACTTCTTGTTAGTACAGTAGTCTAATCTACTCTAATTCAAAGATATAACTAGCTAAAAACTAGTGTGAGCTGCGTCGGTGTTTCTAATGAAACAGTAATGATGAAAAGGTAAATTATACACCGTGAAAAGATGA